AATAAATTACCCCCAACAAGTCATTGACCAACACAACCTTAATATGGCCCAATACAAGTACCATACTCCATCAACTCTCTGGGCTCTCATTGACACAAGTGTCACCCCAAATTTGACTGGCATGTACCATAGTGACCCACAAAACCTGACAACTGTTTTTGTAACATGTGATGGTTCCTACTTTGTTCTTTTTGTCAAACTTGATCCCCAAAGCAAAAACAACTTCTCCACCACTGCAAATTAATTCAATGGTCCAAAGCATATGAACTTGATAGCTGGTACACATGCTTCACTGCTCACTGCTGTGGATTTGGTCAATACTTCCATCCATACCAAWGCTTTTTCAAAACTTGCAATCACCCATGGAGATTCACACATTTTATGGATACTCACAACAAGTTTCATCCAACATTTGAAACAAAAATCAACACCACCTCACAAATCACTTTGGATGTCATTCATAACATATTTACYTCCAACCCCGCCATGTCATTGAACTCCATGACGAACAAGGTTACAACAAAGTAGTACTCAAATCTATTTTATGTGAAACACAACTWATACTCATTGAATCACCATCAATGCTTGTTACAACACATCTGACACAAGGAAATCTTTCCCTTATGGAATATTGGAAGAAACACAATGATTACATTGTGCTTTGTGCCCTCATCAAACATAACACAAAAATGTCCAAAATAAAACAAATGTAAACAATTTTTCAATGAATGTAAACACTCCTCTTTCCTAAGAACCAAAATACATCCAGAACAGGACTTTATGCACCTCAAAAATTAATTTGAATTCTTCAATTTCATTGCCACCCTCTAGTAATACTTGAACCTACCAAATAGCCCAACTCAAATGGYATCTGTAACAAGAACAGCAAGTTGCAAATTCAGTTCCTATCTTCTTGCATACAAACAAACCAATATTATGTCCAAACCTATTTCTGTCAACCAAGTCCAGCTCACTGAAATTGACAAAAGAAAATATTGGTATTGCATACTCRATGTCAATCAATCAAACCAAGGCAGACCCTTCATCATATAATTGACCTTGCCTTGTATGGTGTGAAATTATGACAGGAAAAAACCTCCATGTATACATTCAAGAATTGCCCTTTCCTTCCCCAATCTGATCTTCTTCAACAAAACTTCATCAACTTTTTCCAAGTGTATAAACAGGCACAAAATGMAATTGCACCAGCAACTCTCAACAAAATACACATCTAAAAACAATGTACACATGAATATGTACAACAGGCACTGAATCATCTRCCTTCAGAATTTTATGACCTTTTGTTTAGTGACTGGATCTTTGACACCACCCCAATCAATGCCACTGAAGCCCAGACAGAACATCTACTACAGTATCAAGGTTTAGGTCATATATAAATTGTACATTCTAGCAATCATGTATATACAGCCCTGAATAACCTATTATAATCAATAACAGYCTATATTCCCACACATGACTATTCCAGTGCTTAAATTCTCTTTCAATTCATGTTCTTATCATCGTTCAGCATCAATTCAGGACCAAGATGATACTACAGCTCAAGCTTTCAGTTCAAGGCTAAAACCGTTATACGGTTAAATAACATGGTGGTGTGTAGATAATGGGTGATTCTCAATATTTTAGAATGCTAAATTTTTGGTCTATCTGTGTATGAAACTTAGCATGTTTAGCACAAAATGTAGCCAATTTTGAATGGTCGAAGACCCCATTCAAAATGTGCTAGATCTATTACRGAACCCACAAATGATAGTAGTATCCTGGGATTCAATTTTTATAATTTTTTACTWGTACTACTCTCTTTCTTGAGTCRTACTACTATGTCACATTGAAGTTAAGGTTCAAAATTTCCAAAAAGACTGAGATCAAGCCGGCATTCCAGACAGTCCCCTTATTATAGAAATGCTAAACGTASCAATTTATGATATCAGGAATTACCCAATGGGCCGTCTTTTTACCATGTAATGACTTGTGGGATTAAAAATTTGAAATGTACTGCTGGTACAGTGGGGCACGTGCTCAAATGTTATTCCCACCAGTCTTATGACCAAATCGTTTTGTGTGCACATGCTGCTCTTGCTGTACCAGTAGTAGTACGATTCAGCTTTTCAGTCAAACTAGTCATTAGATGCAACATAAGGGCCCATAGTATTCTACAACTGGCTTGTAGATTTGCTGGCAAAGCCAATATGATGCATGGACCAAAGTGGTGAACTCTATCACAATCCAGAAGTTTGGAAACTCTTCACCCAAAAGTGGTGGTATCAAATACACCCTACAGGTGCAGATTTGTCACACCAAAATGGACCAGTTGAATTTGCTCATTGCACCATTGCTGATCACATGGGATTCCTTTTGTCCAGAGCAAATCTACCCATCAAATTTTGCYCATCCACTTTCCATCATACACTCTGCATTCTCAATGTGTTACCACAACAAACACAAACTCCTCAGTCTCCCATCCAACTTTCTACTGGTAAGAAAGAAARCCTACGTTACTTCAAAACCTTTGGTTGCAGAGTTTGGGCCTACCCTCCTGGAAGACAAACAGCCAAATTCAAAAGGACATTTAACAGCCAATTTGGCGTTAATTTAGTAGAGTTCAGGAGGTTCTTTTTATCACCAAAATAAAGTCATTCAAAGGATGACAATTTTGTGTTCAAAGGTGTGTGCACAAATCTGCCTTTTGGTAGAGTCRTGTGGTGAGGAGAGAGCACGCCTTAAAAAAGATCACCATGGTGGTGATAATTTTTATTGGAAGGGTATCATAACCTGTGGGAGTGACTATCTAATAGTGATGTAGATCATTCGCTGTTCCCACCCATCACACATCAGCTGGCAGAGACAGACCATTGCATCTCTACAACACCGCATGTCCACACTTGGCTTCCGACCAATTGCCATTGACACTCTCGCTACATGTCTTACTGAATGGTTAGACACTGGCACCGTTTCTCCAGAGAAATATCCTACATCCCTTCATCCCGTTATTCATTTTCAGAGTGAGATTGGTTGGCACCACATGTTTGCTGGTCACATTTTGCTCCAGTGGTTTACTGATCTTGATCTTCATTCCGGCTCTTACCCCCCGCTTGTATTAGGGGGTTATCTTGTTGAGTTCTTTCTCACCTCCTATATATCATTATGGGAACAGCGAAATAAGGATCTTCATGGCTATACGCTTTCACAGAAACAAGCAAAGCATTGAAGGCGCGTGGTGATGAAAGTTYGTACCTTATTTGCATTGAAACCTCAGACCTGTCCGTCCCATACTCACKTATTTCCAGCAGATATGGAAGCATTCTTATTACAGACTCCAACCTCCATGCTCTCTTATTATCATCAAGCCTACAAGAAAACAATTCTGGCGAGTGTCTCTCAAGCTACTAGTGCTTCAGTCTCCAACACCCACCCTATTACCAAATATTTTCCACCATTGCTTCATAGTAAACAACCACCGGAGAGCGTCACACAAGATGGGCTAGTCTTTGATGCATACTCCAAGAAGAAAAGACACAGACCCCCTGCTTCACCAAAGAATTCTTTGGTCTCTGCCGCAACCAACCGTACCATGCAAACTACTATGAACCAATATTTCTCCTAAACATGTCCTCTGAGTCTAGCCTTGGGCCTTCAGTGGCCCATCAGTGTGCATAAAACTTGGTCGCGTCTCCATAAAACCTCCTTGGAGGGAGGCGCCGCCCCTTGGAGCAGCTAGAAGCATTCTTTCTAACGAAGGCTATGGTTCTGGCCATCCAAGTGCCTCTTCTAGTTCACGAGGTTAAACATAACTTTAAGATTTTTTTTTAATAGTGATGTAGATCATGCRCTAGTAGAAGAAAAGTGAGTTGATGCTCTTGTTGAGGATTGACAAACTATGAAATCTAAGACCGATCAGAATGAAGATCGAGTGATGTGTGAATCGAATGAGTCAAGTCACTCATGCTAGTGAATCAACTGAGTCATGTTGATCATATGGATCCATGGGATCAAGTGAGTCATATATGTATAAGGTGTATGAATCATAGGTACGATAAATAGGTAT